TAAGAAATTTTACACTTAAAAAAACTTTCAAAAGATTTTATTATACACACCAACCATTAATCATTTCAAGGGAACTTAAAAGGGGAAAAAAAGAAAAACAGTTGCAAAAAAAAAAAAATCACAGATTTTATTACAAACTGTAGTTCTGCACTCCACCAGTAGATGGTGACATGTTCACATGAAGCCTCATGAACTGTGGGGATCGTTGAAGCTATTTGGCCAAATGGTTCAATGCCTCATGAGGCTTCATCTCACCATCACTAATAAGGAGGAAGGCACAGAGAGAAGGAGTTTGAGCATGTTAGACTGTGTTTGACAAGGACCCAGCAAAGGGGAACTGAAGAGAGAGGGCTTTTTAAAGGAGACTGAGACAAAGAGGGGGCTAATGAGGAAACTGGGAGCAGGTGTGCAAAGAACAAGAGAGGGAAAGAGCTATGGAAGAAGGAAAACATAAGAGGGCAGCAGAGAGCAACAAATAGAAACCTGGAAGACTGGAAATAACAACAAAATGATAATCAAATAACTAGGACTATAAAACATAAAGAAAAGAAAACTAAACACTAGAAAACAAGGAGTAAAGTAAGATTGAATACTCAAAAGAAAAACATAACAGAAACAGAAACCTGACAGCCTTCAGAATTGCCCTGTTTTGCTCCATTCATCTCTCCAAAAACTCTGATTTACTCTCACGTCCCACATGTGGAAATGCATCTCCACAGCATAATGCTACAACTACTACTACAATTGGCTTTTACTACAATGTGGCTTTTAGTGGCAGTGGGAACAGCTCACTGACACGTGTCTACCCGGGTCAAACGACTCGGCAAGTGACCTGTGTTAAAATCGCCTAGCCTCTGATCGGCATGCTGTCCAACAACAGAGCCAGGTTGACCCACTAAATAACATGATACCATTGAACGCAACATACGGACGTCAACATACCGCGCCAGCCACATCTGATTTAACAAGCCGAAACAACTCTGTTTACATTTGATAAAAATGGAGTGTGATAAGAGAGAGTTCTGAAAAATAATAGAGCAAAAAAAATAAAGCTCACTGACTACTCCCTGGCTTCCCTACATGGTGCTCTCCATTGTTTACTTTCCTGATTTCTGTCACACTGGTGACATCATCACCAACGCTAACCCAGCGTAATGGTGTCACCAAACACGCAGCGACGGAGGGACAGAGGCGATGCAGCTTGTCAGCTAGTGGTTAGACCCGGCTTTTTCAGTCAGTGGGAAGGGAGCCAAAGGCCGATTCTTAGCAGGTCGACCCATCTTTGAAAAACAGGAGATGCTGCAATTAGCTGATTTATATAGCAGCCCCAGCTATACCTTTGAAAACGAAAATTATACATTTTGTTTTTTTGCTACAAACATTATTTTGCATGGCTAATGGCAATCTGAAAAACACTACATGCCGTCCTATTTTTCACTACGCTTTTGTTTTTGCCAGTTCTGCATGAATCACAGATTTTTTTAAATCTTCATAACTGAGTTGTTTTTGCTGCTCCCCAAAGTGATCATGATCCTCTTGGCTGCTTCTCAACCTCCTTATCATCCCTGTCAGCGTAGTCGGGTGGTCTTATCTTGAGAGATTTTTATTTGGGGTTTTTCCTGCTAATAGATAAAACAGAGATGTTGAAATATTGTTTCACAAACTAAACTTACTTTAAATCTCTCCATTAATTTTTCTACGGGTATCAGGGTAAAGCAACATAAGTTAATTCTTCATTTTCAACATATTTATGTGAAAAAGGGAAATTAGACCATTAGACCACAATGTTACAGATGAAAAACAGTTCAATCGCGTTGGAATAATAAATACCTTTGCAGGGCCCAGTATAACCATAACATCATATGGGTGTTAAATACTTCTGACAGAAGAAGAAAATGTGAAAATGTGATGCGTTTTATTTTGTTTATTTTTAACTCAGTTGTTTCAAGCATGAAATGAAGCAGAATTAGGTCAAACAAATAGAAGGTACACCACAGTTGTTCAGTATGAACAATCACAACATAACTTTTAAAGGCACAATTGGTGACTTTTTATTGTTTGTCTAATAGCTAATCTTTTTTGGTTTAAATGAACATTTCAGGTGAAGATGGAAGCTTAGAGGAAGGACTCCCTCTGAGAGACCAGTGATGCAGGGACACATGACCAACTACAGACCTATCACTGTGGACGCTCATATCCTCTCTGTAGAAGTTAAAAGAACGTTATAAAGTGTAACAGGATTGTTATTATACGGTGCTGAAAACCTCACCTCGGAGCCATCCAGATTTCTGTCCTGAAAGCTGCTGCCTTACGCCATATTCCTAATACTTCAACCACAGAAACGTTTCTTGTACTGTTCTACTAACATCACTTCTACAGGGTATGAAGAAGGAGATCAACTGAAGTGTAATGCACAATTAAGTTTAGTGTCAGCTCTTATTTTACAGGCTTGTATCAAAATGAGCTTTCCTAATGAAGTATTTTCTTTATGCCAAACTTTTAAAAGTTAAATGATGTAGGATATATGTTTTATCATTGTTTTTTTTTTTGTTGCTATTTCCGATGTGTTACTGTGACCCAGAAGAGTGCTACCAGCTGTTAAAAAAATAACCCACAGATCTTTTTATAATGCTGTGAAGCAAGCAGATTTTGAGTATTTTCAAGCTCTTATTTTAGCATAATTTTGTGCCTTAGACAAGTGCTGTTGTAACCATTGTTAATCAAAGGCATATAAAACAACTGTTTAAATTTTTTAAAGTATTTATTTAGATTGTCAGTTTGATGGTCTGTATGAATAAACACACTTTAACATGAATCAATTCTATGTTGTCATTGTATTAAACTTAATATACATTATTGGACAGTATGTGGAAAACTAATTGACCCCTTTATAAATCATGAATTAAGGTTGATTAAACTACAACTTTTAGAAAGCAGAGTTTGATTTCACAAGTCAAACCCTGGCCTGATTATTACCTACAGTAATATATAAATACAATACACAATTTAAAGGTATTGTGGAGGATTTCCGTGTCGCCGCTGTCAGGTAGTGACAGCCTATGGCGACAACAGGCCGCTGTGACAGCAAATCCTATAGTGCTTTACAAGAAGACCTCTCCGCGCAAAGCATTCTGGGATATATCTGCCTCTTATGAGGCCTTTTCTTCTCATACACTTCGTAGACACTTTTTCTCTTATGACCCTCGGCCATTTTCAAAGAACGGCGGTGAGAAATGTGCGCTTCAATGACTGAAAGCGTAGGTCCCCACCGATGTAGCCTGAAAGTGCGCATTCGCAGATAAATATACGTATCGGGACGAGACGTAGGATGGCCTTACGTAAACATATCACCGGAATGATTGACAATTAGGAGGACCACTTATTTAGAAGATCCACTCAGAAATAAAAGATGGCCCTCTATACCTTTAAGTATTAACTCTGATGCATGAAAAAAAAAAAAATCCATAATTTAAAAAATATGTAATAATTTTTATTCCCTTGATTTATGCCCTGTCCCTTTAATTCCCTCAGCAGACCCACAGTAAAACAATATAAAGTAAATTTCTCCACTATGAGATCAATAAAGTCAATCAATCAATAATAATCGGGTGTGAATAGAATTAGATTTTGACAATAAACTAGTATTTTCCTTGGTTTTTAATGGCAGCTGGCTGCCAACAAGTCTTGCATTACGGCCATCCTATTTATTCTATAATGATGTAATATTTCTTCAGTTCTTCTGATGAGAAGGGAAAAATCGTTCTTTTCACTACTTCATTATTTAACTGTGCAGCAATATCTTTAAATGTCAACTCCACAGTAAAACCCAAGCCTAAACTTAAAGATTCCCTTCAAATTCCATACCTACTGCACAGAATAAAAAGATTTTCAGTTAATTTTGTAGTTTTACACCTACTACACCATGCAGTGATTTCCCCATCTTAAAAATTGGAGATAAGGGAGACACCAGCCTGTTTTTATTTTATCTATTACAACTTCATCCCTCCTATTCGCTCCTCTTTGTACGCTCACCAGTTCTATATACATTTTTCCCTTTTACCTCATTATCCAACTTTGTCTTCCATAACTTTTTACTTTATATCCAAAGTATAATCTTAGATTTAGATAGCGGTATCTGTAACGTGATATCTAAATTTTTAACAGCCTCCTTAGCCAACTTATCTGCTCTATTTTTTCCAATAATACTAACATGAACAAGAGTCCACAATACTATATTTTATTTTCTTCACATGTTTCATAATGAACAATTAGAATTTCATTCAGGATTCTCTAGAAATTATTAGTACTTTAAAAAATATCACTATAAATGATCGTTTTCTTATTCTACTATTTACTGTTATGTGGTCTTTTTTTCTTTTAAAACAAGCATGTGTGAAGGATACTTGTCAAACGAAATAGTTCGCCTTCGAAAAGGCCTTCCCATAAAAGGTTTGGACTGAGATGTAATAAAATACAAAAAACTTAAAATAAAAAAGTAAATATGAATGTTTTATTTTTAATGCTTTTTTGCGGTAATGAGGGTAAATTGTGCGCATATATTGAATCGTGTTGATTTATTTGTCGGCATTTATAATCAGGCGAAAGGGAGGCCCACTAACTCAAAGGTCCTTTACAAAGGGGGCTTGCGGTATTGTTAAGAGGAAAAACTTTAGCTGGCGGCGAGCCTCTGCACATACAAAAAACTCCATATCTTGTCCCTTGAACACTGTAAAAAGACCACTGTTTTTATCTTAATAGTGGAAACGATACATTATCAGCGAAGCAGCCATGATAACATCTGCCGGTGAGTCCCAAAAGAGGGTTTTATTTTTCTAGGTTTAACTTTAGCTAGCTGCCATTGAATTAGCTGAGTCACACAGTGCTAACAACCGGTGACAGAACACAAAATAAATACTAAGATGCAGTGTTTAGAAAGATTTAATCTTTACTGAGTACAACATTCAGAATTATGTCTAAAACTACTGTGATATGAAAAACCAAAACCGGAAAATCTGTCTGCTGTTCTGTTTCTGGCTCCAAATGGGGTTATGAACCGAATGTAATTTTCATTTTATTTTGATTCTTTGAAATATTATACATGATTTAGACTTGGTTCTCGGTTTAAACAACAAAAAAAAGAAGAAAGAAACCCAACTGTAAATCTGTCTTGTAATGGTCAATTAGTCCAGTTGCACTTCGTTTGGGTCAACATCTTGTGCAACCTAATGCGAATTTTTTTAAAACCCTGTGGCAAGTATTAAACAAGCTACATTCTTTTCTCTTTTAAGATTTAAGTTTGTCACAGGAGACAATATTTTGCTTCTTAGGCTGCATCTTTAAATTAAACATTTTGACTTTAAAATAAAAATAAGAGGAAGTTTCTATGAAGTCAGAGTTTCTGCCTATATTTATTTCTACATTTACAAAAGTGAAGCTGACTGTTATATTACTATTATATAACATTTTCTCTGTTTGTCTTTTACAAAGCTGGGATCATTTCCCTTCTTGATGAGGAAGAGCCTCAGCTTAAGGTAATTATTTACTTGCATTGTAATAGGCCAGGTGTCTTGGGATCATATAATGTTTCTATAATGTTATATTGCATATTTTAGAACATTTTTTTTTTTTCAGAATCGAGTAAATAAGAAAATATTAACATGTAACCAATGCTTTGTTTGTAGGAGTTTGCCCTGCATAAACTGGATTCCATAGTGAATGACTTCTGGGCTGAGATTTCAGGATCTGTAGATAAAATGTAGGTATCTGGTATAAAAACGGCAGTTTTATCAGATGTTAACTATCAGACATAACTTGTACAGAGAATTAAATATGCTCAATTCCAGTGCTTCGAGGTTCAGTTAGTTATAACTGTCCGTCTTGTATTTACAGTGAGGTCTTGTATGAGGATGAGTCTTTTCGGAGCAGAGAATTTGCTGCCTTGGTGGCCTCAAAGGTTTTCTACCATCTTGGGGCCTTTGAAGAATCTCTGAATTATGCTCTTGGAGCTGGGGATCTCTTCAGTGTCACAGATGACTCTGAATATGTGGAAACCATCATCGGTGAGTGATGATATAAGACATAATGAGGCAACTGGAGAGGATCACTGTCACTTCACATTTTATTGTTTACTGCTCATTGTTTCTCTGATGGAAAAGAACTGATTCATATCAAGCAAAATTAACTGAGGTATCCCAACTTTCCGTGTTCAGCCAAGTGCATTGATCACTACACCAAGCTGCGGGTGGAGAATGCTGAGTTATCAGAGGACGAGGAGAAGAAGAGCATTGACCCTCGACTCGAGGGCATCGTCAACAAGATGTTTCTGCGTTGCTTAGATGATCACAAGTACAAACAGGCTATTGGCATCGCGTTGGAGACCAGGCGCCTTGACATTTTTGAGAAGACCATTCTTGAATCGGTCAGTGTCTCCTGTTATGCACTAAAGTTATTATTGCAAACATTTGCAAATATATTGTGTTTTCAGTTAAAGGTCTTAGTTATTCGTCAGATTTGTTTAGAAAACATTGGTAGGTTTTATTGAGCCTTTTTTCCTTTTGTATTTAGATAAAGTTTTTTTCTTAGTTTAAATTGGTTGGTAATTCATGTTAATTATTTGGGTTCTCCTTTACAGAATGATGTGAGTGGCCATCTGGCTTACAGCCTGAAGGTCTGCATGTCCCTAATGCAGAACAAGAAGTTCCGTAACGAGGTCTTACGGGTGCTGGTCAAATTGTACATGAACCTGGAGAAGCCAGATTTCATCAATGTTTGTCAGGTAATTGCTGTAAAACTGACCTTGAAAATGCATCTTAATGTGCTTTTTATCTTATTTTCTCTCATGAAATCCTGGTTTTATTCCTGTTAGCATTGTTACCAGAAATAATTTTTAACAAATCTGTTGCCTCCACAGCAGAATTTATATTTTGTTTAATTTGAAGTCGTATTGTTAACGGATGTGATTATGACTTTGCAGTTTTAAAGAAACAAACTTGAAAAATACTTTGTAATCTATATTTGATGTCAATTTTGGGTCTCTAAAGATTTCTTAACCTCATTAACTTATGTGTCTCATGTTTGCTTTCTTTCTTTACATCTCAATTATAGTGCCTGATTTTTCTGGATGACCCTCAAGCCGTTAGCGACATCCTGGAGAAACTTGTGAAAGACGACAACCTACTAATGGCATACCAGATCTGCTTTGACCTCTATGAAAGTGCCAGCCAACAGTTTCTATCTTCAGTCATTCAGAACCTGCACACTGTAGGGACGCCCATCCCTGCCGTGCCTGGATCCACAAACACAGGCACCGTTCCCACAGCAGACAAGGACAGGTACGAATAAGATTCACTATTCCCTGCCAGTCTGGCCAGCCAATCGTAAAACCACAACACTAACTTAATGTTATTCTGTCCTCTAATCTAAATGTTTATTGATGAATATTCAGTGAAGCAATGGAGACTGATGAAAAGGCTGGAAGCTCACCAGCTGGAAAGGCTGCAGAAACCGTGAGTACTTTAGGTTGGGGTTTTTTTTTTGTGTGAGTACTGAGACACTTTTCTTCATGTTTTTGGTTTGCTTTTTGTAGAAGGAAGAACCCAAAGACCAGAACGCTAAAATGATCAAAATCCTCAGTGGGGAGATGACCATAGAGCTACACCTGCAGTTTCTCATCCGAAACAACAACACAGACCTGATGATTCTGAAAAACACAAAGGTAGTAAATATTGGGACTGAGAGAAAATGCAGGATGCATGTTGTTAGGAACTTGTTAAGTGGTTTGTTGAATTGTTCAAAGCG